TAGATTCGACGAAGCAACTCAATTTGGGTGTACATGAATGGTGTAGTCGATCCCCCACTCGATGTCCGTCCCCGTGGCGCCCAATAGCGCGTCCACTGGCGCCCAAACAGCGCGCAGAGCTCACGCGACGCATCTCCCTCATATTGGAGCACAGCGGCCGCCGTGGGGCACGATCTAGGCGCCAGCTGGGCGCTAGTTAAGCGCGGTGGAGCGGTATGGAGCGCTGTTGGGCGCCGTTGGGCGCGGAGCACGCGCTATTGGGCGCTGTCCGCCGATATACATCGGGAAACGAAGAATGGCATAACATAAAAAGAATCAAAGGTCCGCGCGGATTTCTCGGATCGGCTCTGACCCCTCTCTGGCGCGCGGAGCGCACCAGGGGCGGCGCCAGAGGCGCCGCCGGGGGGCCCAGGCGCGGATCCAAGAAATCCGCGCGGAGCGCCAAAAGTTTATGTTTGTGTGGTTTTTCCTTCTTCAATTACAGCTCGGAGAACTTCGAGCCAGGAGCATGGCCGTAGCTCTGAGCGTTTTCCGAGGCCGTAGTCCAGGTCCAGGTATACGAGCAGTCCACGACAAAGAGACAGCCCAAAAAAGAACGCCCAGGGCCCAGTCCTGACTCTTGATTCTACGAATCGAAGTATGCAGTCCGTTGACATCGACGCGCTTCTCGAGATGTCTGATGGGTGTACGCACGAATGACTTTTGGTGCGCGGTTCAAAGGGTGACGTGGGGTGGCCAAACCCAGGCGCGCAAGCCGCTGCTACCGCTTCGCGCTCTGCGATCGGGGGATCCCACTGGGCCAGCACCAAAGGTCAATCCGGCGAAAAGTCACAAATACGTCTAGTCGATCCGTCCTGGGCCGTTTCCTGGCGGTCCCAGAGCCCCGCCTGTGGCCGCTTCTGGAAGCCCTGAACCCAAAAGAATTGCCGTCTCCTGGGAGACCCACTCTTGCTTCCGCCGGCTTCCGCTGGCCTTCCAGCGGCTTCCGCCAGCGGAGGTAGCCTCGCTGTACTTCCGCGGGCTTCCGCCGCCCTGTCCCCCGGCTTCCGCCGAGGAAGAAGCCAATTCCTTCGGCCCTCGCAGGCGAGGCACGTGGGAAGACCTTTGGACAACCCCTGCCCATGGAGCCGGCGACGCTGGCTGTGACCGCTGAGTTTGTGCCATCTGGACACGATACAATAAGGGCATCGGATCAGGAACCAGTACACTGCACATGAGGAGGGCAGGGTCTGCAAACCTGGGGGAACACCAGTGGAGGCTTGGCCATGGATCCGTCGACCCTCGCCTGCCGACGTAAGGGATGACCCGCTGTCCCCATATCCCCCTTTCCCCCTCCCCCGTGGCCAAAAATGGTATTAGAGTTAGGTCGGGCATGTCCCCCTGCAGGCGGATTCTGGCTGAAAAATCAGAAACTCCCAACAAAGTAACCAAAAATGATAAAAGTGATCCAAAATCGTCCACCTACTATTTTTTACTATGTTTGGATGTTCCTCCTGTAGAGGGACAGGCCCGACTTCATACTGAAGGGGGGGGGGGGCTGGGGCTGGGGGGGGGGGGGGCAGGAGGGGGGGGGAGAGGGGGGGGACAAGCTCGCCCACGCACCCCAGGGACCCTTTGGAACAAAGAGCCCCGAAACGGCTCAGTGAGCTCCGAGACTATCCAAGAGAGCAACGACACGGCCCGAGGGTAAACCCACGACGGTCCAAGATGGCTTCAAGACGGGCAACGACGCCCCCAGGACAGCCCAAGAATGCTCCCAGAGGGCCACCGAGAGGGGTCCAAGAGGCAAACATCGCCCCATGTCCTTTGGAAAACCTGTATTTTCAACATGTACGCCTTTTTCGTCTTGACAGCGTTCACAACGGTCCCAAGGAACCTCCAAGATCGTCCCAAGACGGGCCATGAGGCCCACAAGTGGGGCCCCCCTGAAGATGGCCGAGGAGGGCCCCAAGAGTGGTCCAAGAGTGGCAATACAAAATGACATCTCGAGTCTTCCTGCCGTGATGGCCCCCAAGCCCCCAGTGACGCACGAGGCGCCGACAAGAGGCCCCAAGATTCTTCCAAGAGGCACCCAAGAGACCCCCAGGAGGCCCCCGAGAGGCCCAAAAAGCCAACCAGATGCCCCCCAGAGCCCTGCAAGAGAGGCATTCCAGGAGACCTTCCCCTGCATCCCCGAGGCTCCTGACCCACAGGCCAGGCACAGCGGCACGACTCTCCCCGAATTCGCTGCTGTGGGGGCCAGCGGACTGGTGCAAGCCTCTTGGAAGCGACCGCCGCCCTCATCAGATAAGGAATCCTCCAGGGTCTGAAGCCTCCTGGGAACACTCCTGAACCGACGCACCGTCCGCCTCCGTCTGCCAGCCTGGGGCCCCGTGGAGGCCCCTGGAACCCGAGGACGGTACAAAAGGACCTCCCATCGTGATTCTGTCCACGGCGCCGCGTCTGGGGCCGCCCACACGAATGCACAGCCGCTCCCTCCATCGCCGTCGCCGTCGCCAGCATCGTCGTCGCCGCAGTCATCGGTTTCGTCTCAGCTGCCGTCGTCGTCGTCGTCGCCGTCGACGTTGTCGTCGCCGTCGTGGCCGTCACCGTTGTCGTCGTCGTCGTCGTCGTCCTCGTCCTCGTCGCCACCGCCGTCGCCGTCGCCATGGTCATCGCTGTCGCCGTCGCCGCCGTCGCCATCGCCGTCACCGTCGTCGCCGTCGTCGTCGTCGTGGTCGTCGTCGTCGTCGTCGCCGTCGTCGCCGTCGTCGTCGTAGCGGCGGCCGTCGCCATCGCCATCGTCGTCGTCGCCGTCACCATCATCACAGTCGTCGCCGTCGCCGTCGCCGCCGCCGCCGCCGTCGCCGTCGCCATCGCCATCGCCATCGCCGTTGTCGTCGTCACCTTTATCGTCGTCGTGGTCGTCGTCATCGTCGCCCTCGTCCTCCTTGCGTCGCCGCTGCCGTCGTCGTCGTCGTGGGCCGTCGCCATCGCCATCGCCGTCGTCGTCGTGGCCGTCGCAGTCGTCGCAGTCGTCGCAGTCGTCGCCGTCGTCGCCGTCGTCGTCGCCGTCGTCGCCGCCGCCGTCGCCGTCGCCATCGCCATCGCCGTCGTCTTCGCCGCGGTCGTCGTGGGCGTCGTCGTCTTCGCCGTCGACGCCGTCGCCGCCGGCCGTCGCCGTCTCCATCCACGCCGTCATCATCGTCGTCGTCGCCGTGGTCGTCTTCGTCGTCGCCGTCGGTCGCAGTCACCATCGCCGTCGCCGTCGTCGTTGTAATCGCAATCATCGCCGTCGTCGCCGTCGCCACCGTTGTCGCCGCCGCAAGTCGCCATCGCCATCGACGTCGCCGTCGTCGCTGTCGTCGTCGCAGTCATCGCCGTCGTCGCCGAGGTCGTCGTCGCCGTCGCCGTCGCTGTTGCCGTCGCCGTCGCCATCGCCGTCGTCGCCGTCCTCGCCGACGCCACCCGCCGTCGCCGTCGTTGTCGCCGTCGAAGTCGCCATCGTCGTCGTCGTCGCCGTCGCAGTCATCGCCGTCGCCGACGTCGTCGCCGACGTCATCGTCATCGCCGGCGCCGTCGCCATCGCCATCGCCATCGCCGTCGCCGTCGCCGTCGCCGTCGTCGCCGATGTCGTCGCCGTCGTCGCCGATGTCGTCGCCGTCGTCGTCGTCGTCGCCCGAGGGCCCGCTCGTCCAGCAGCCGCAGCGCGTACAGCGCTGCCACCGCGCCGGCGGCGGCGGAGCCCCGCGCCAGCCGCGGGCAGCCGAGGGCCCCGTGCAACGCCGCGGAAACCACGAGCACCTGAGGGTGCACGGCTTCCCCCGGGGCCGTAGGCGACCCGGGGAGGAGGAGAAGGAGGAGGAGGAGGAGGAGGAGGAGGAGAAGGAGGGGGAGGAGGGGGAGGAGGAGGAGGAGAGGAGGGGGAGGAGGAGGAGGAGGAGGAGGAGGAGAGAGGAGAGGAGGAGGAGGAGGAGGAGGAGGAGGAGGAGGAGGAGGAGGAGGAGGAGGAGGAGGAGGAGGAGGACGAGGGGGACGGGTCGCCTAAGCCCTTCGGAGAAACCCTCCACCTGAGGGGGGAAGGTCAGGGGGACGATGTTCGCTAGCAACTCATTGGAGCTTCCCATACCATCTTGCTGGCTCGTGCGAAGCGACGCTTGTCGACGCCAATGCACGCTAGCTCGAGGCGGATCCACGCTGGTCGACGCTGAGCGACGTTGAGGCGGCGCTGTCTCATCGACTACCAGACGCCGCTTCCAGACACGAGGACACTCGAAAGAAGGAACTGCGAGCGCGTGTGGGGCTCCCACGATCTGCCGCCGAAGGGGAAGCCAAGAGGGCAACTGGCTCCCGGGGGGGGGGCATCCCCTGAGAACCCGGCGTCGCACTCTTTTTGCGCCGGTCGTTTCTCACCGGGCTTCGGCCCGGCAGCATCACAGATCGATCCGGCTCGAAAAATCTGGCAGGCTTTAGCGCTCCAACCCTGGCTTTTCGCGATGCTGCACTTTGTTCCGCAACGTCGGAGCTCAGGGTCGACCCTGGGATCGGGGATGCATCACCGAGAGATCGGGGATACGGCGAGGGCATTGGACAAGGAACCACTGGACAAGGCATCCAGGGCCTGGCAACAGGTGGAGCTCCAATGGTGGGTTGGCCGTGCACATCACCGCCGCCCTCCTCAGCTAAGGGATCCCCCAGGGCCTGAGGCCTCCCCGGCAGAGTCCTGAACCAGCGCCCCCACCGTAGGCCCCAGAGGCAGCGAAACGAAACGGCCCTGGGCGGAGCAGGCTCCTGTGGGCGGCGCGCAGAAAAGGGGGGAGGGGGAGCGGGGAAGGCTTCTTAGAAGGAGGCTGCTTCTTAGCAGGCGCTGGCCCTGCAACATCTACGGGCAAGGCCCGCGCCTTCTAAGAAGCAGTGGTGCTTCTGAGAAGCCCTCCCGCCTCCCCCTGCCCCCCTCGGTGCGTGGCCGATATTGGGCCCCTAGCAGCGATCCGTGGGCAAGTGGGGGTCCGTGCAAGCCCCCTGAGCTTGTCCCCGGCGGCGAGGACCCCTGCGGCGGCAAGGACCTCCCGGTCGGCCTCGCCGGGGCCATCGAGGAACGAGCGCATCTCCGCCTCCAAGGAGGGCGGGTGGAGACAACTGCCGCGGGTCGGCGAGCAGCCCACACTCAAACACTGGGGAAGGGCAAAAGGCGATGAAGCCGCTAGGGGTATGGGCGCGAGCTGTCGGACCCCGAGAGGGGCTCCCGTTCGAGCGGGGGCCCCTTTATCTGGCAGCACACGCGCACCCCCACGTAGCCCTCCCCGGAAGTTCAGCCCAGGAACTCCCAGGGTCGAACGGGTCTGGGTGTGAGCTGTCAGCTCGTGAAACGTCCCCTCGTCGAAGCGGCTGGGCGCAGCTCGGAGAACTGGCGCGCCTGGGCCTGGGGAGGGGCCCGGGGGCCGCGCTGGAGCGGCTGCCGCTCGTCTCGGCTCGCCTCGCCCGGGTCTCCGAGCCTCGGTGGCCTGGAGGTGGGCGCTCTCCGGCGGGAGCGCGCGGAAGGCGGCGGCGGAGCGCACGAGCAGCGCCAGCAGGCAGAGGGTCATGGGCGCGCCGGCGCTGGCGGCCATCTTCTCCTCGCGGAGGGGCGGGGAGAGGGAGCGGAGGGGGGAGGGGAGCGGCGGAGAAGTGAGAGCGAGGAGGAGGAGGAGGAGGAGGAGGAAGAGGAGGAGGAGGAGGGAAAGTCGAGTGCTGCAGTCAGTCCGTTAGGATCCGCCGTGCCAGCTTTTCTGAGCTCGTGTGGGTATCCGGACGGTGGTGTTGATAGTGATCGGCGCGCGCGTGTCCCGCACGGGAAAGGCTGACAGGGATGGGGCCCGCTTAGCGCGCGCGCGCAGGTAGACCGCATGGCAATATTTGAAGGGGATGGTCCCAGCTTTTCTTTTGGGTGCGAGCGAGGGGCGGAAGTGAGGAGGCCAAGGAATTCTCAGAAGGCTCAGAAGTCCCCCTGGCCTTCTGAGAAATTGTCTAGGCCTCCCCCGAAGGCACAGAAGACTCCTCCGAAGGCGCGAGGGCTTCTGAGGAGTCCGACCGCCCTCCGAGAAGGCTTTCTCCTTCTCACTTCCCCCCTCGCTCGCCGCCGAAGCTTAGCACGCGCATGCGGCCCGCACGGTTTTGTTTGATCGGGGCGGCCCCCGGTTTGGAGCACGAGCGTGCGTGACCCACCCACATGTAAAGGGAAATTAGGACACACAAATAAATACACACAAATAACATTAGTCCCCATATTTTCCCATATTTTCTGGGTTTTTGTCTTCTCCCCCAATTCCCATATTTTCCCATATTTTCCTGGGAATCGAGGATTAATTGTGTCTGTGTGTTTTTTTCCCTCCTGAACATGTCACATTACTCGTGAAGGACCAGTGCGCGCGCGCGGCCACCGCGGTTGCTCCCCTGAGACGGATGGGCAACGTCGGGGCGCAGAGTGAGGTTGGGAGGCGCGGGGCGGAGGGGCAACGATCGGGGGGATAGGGACAGGGGGGGGACATCGACCTGGAATCGACGACATCGCCGATAGATCGGAGATAGGCCTCCGATAGCGAATAATCCGCACGTTCCTGGACAGGCCGGGGATACCGAGCCCCTGTCGGCGATCATTGGGCGATTGGGGGTCGATGCATCCCCCCCTATGCCTATCCCCCCCTTTCGTTGCCCCTGAGGGGCCGGATAATGCCGGGGGCAGCACCGACAAGGATCAAGACGGAGGATGGGCTGATACAGAAGAAAGAACGGCATAAACATAAACTGTCGCCGGTCCGCGCGGGATTCTTGGATCTGCGCCAGGGGCGGCGCCGGAAGAGCCCCAGCGCGGATCCAAGAAAATACAATCGGTTCGTATCACAAGGATGCGCGGAAAGGATGCAAGGGCCTTGGAAGGCCACGTCGACGCTCTGGGGGCGGGGCGCGGACAGCGAACGCGGCCAGGGATGGGCCGAAGGGGAAGGATGCAAAGGGTACCCCCCTGGGAAGGTCGCCCATCCTTACGATGCGGACTGACTGCAGTGGGCTCGACTGCGCGCAGGAGCAGAGGAGCGACCCCGGGCAAAAAGGGGGGCCGCTGGTGCGCGGCTTGCCGACCCCCTCGCCTGCCGTGCGACGCCACGGTGCAGCGGCCTCCGTGCTTGGGCTTGCCCCCCCCCCACCCGGCGCCGCCCCGGAGGTCGCGCACCGAAGGCCACTCCCACGAAGAAGCCACTCTTCGAGTACGGGATCGTCCACGGAATGGATTTACAGTCGACCCTTATCCTCAGGATGCACGATAAGGATGCAAGGGCCTTGGAAGGCCGTTTCGAAGCTTTTCGAGCGGAGCGAGGCCAACGAAAGTGGCCAAGGATGGGCCCAGGAGGCAAGGATGCAAGAGAGAAAGAGAGAGAAAGAGAGAGAGAGAGAGAGTGCGAATACATAGAAGGAGAGATATAAGAGAGAGAAAGGGAGAGAGAGAGAGAGAGAGAGAAAACAAAAAAAAAAAAAAAAAAAATGAAACAGCGCCGGCACTTTTAGGTTGGGGTTCCTTTCTTCCCTGCGAGGGAGCCGGGTCAGTCTGCGGGCCCGGCCTGGCGGCCCCGTTTCCGTCCGTCGCCGCCCCACGCTTCCCAACAAGAGGCCCGTCTGCGGGCCCTGCGGCCCCGTTCCCGTCCGTCGCCGCACCACATCTTCCTCCTTCTCCTTTTCCTCCTCCTCCTCCTCCTCCTCCTGCTCCTCCTCCTCCCCCTCCTCCTCTTCCTCCTCCTCCTCCGCCCCACTCCGTTCCCGTCTGTCGCCGAACCACACAGCTGACGCCGCACAGCTTGCACCACGCAGCTTGCACCACGTAGACTTCACAGCATACCGTGCGCCACACAGCTTGCACCACGTAGCTTGCACCACGTAGCCTGCCCCACAGAATTTGCACCACGTAGATTTTCCTGTTCTCAAACAACTTTCGGATCTACCTACCCACCCCCGTTAACGGGTCAGCATTTCTCGTATTGCAATTTCCGTACTAGTCTGCCCCATCGTCCATCCGAAATGTGATATCAGGCCACCCCAGGCAGGCGTTTACCATCCTCATCCGTTGTCAAAAATATGCGCGCACACACTTGTTTCCCACAAATCATAAATTTTCAAAATTCCCCCCAACAGAAAAACAACAACAACAACAACAACAACAAAACTGACGAAGTGCACACGCGCGCGTCGTCGAGCGCGGATGCCGAAATTTCTCAACAACCTGAAACTTCGGAGAGATTTCAAAATCCTGAACCGAAAACATACAATAACCCATGGCTTCGCAACAAAAAGCTTCAACCAAAAATGATAGCGCGCTTGCGAATTATCCAGAATACCATAGGTTTCGGCATGTTCCAACCTTGCTACCAAACGGGCCTCTCGCGCGCGCATGTCGGAATCGTTCGAACGCCATTACGAGCGCGCTGTCGCAAGAACCCCTTAGACAAAAAACGAAGTGCACACACTCGCGCGTCGTCGCGCGCGCGTGCGGAAATCATTTTAAACCTTCGGTTGCGCACGGAATTAAAAATCGAATGTCCCAAAACCATAGACAAAAAACACTGTTGTGCAACATCCGTTTAAAAAATGCCTGCGCTCGCGGTTCTGCTGTATGTTGACAAATAAGAAACCAAAAAACCGTGGTGTGTCAACAATTTCTGCCGAGCGGGCCTCTCGCGCCGCATGTCGAGATCATTCGAAAGCCTTTGCGTGCGTGCTGGGGGGGGGCACGTTCCGTGTCAGATAATACCTCGCAAGCCACTCGCGCATGTCGGCCACGCGCGCATGTCGAACTCCTTCACAACCTCCTTCGTCGACGCGAAGATATCGTCATCGTCACAGGCGGGCGTGATCAACTTCGGCGTCGTTATTGGCCTTGCCATCGTCATCGCCACCGTCGCCACCATCGTCGCTACTTTCAGGATCCTGTCTACCGTTGTCGGCGTCGCCATGATACCGCGCCCGCTCAAGTCATCGACTCGCGATGAAGTGCCCGCTGGGAAATGCCCAGCGGTCAGCGCCACCACGGCCGCGTCGGTCGCGCCAAACTACCTGGCCGCTGTGCGCGCGAGCATGCGCGGGCTAGCGCGGCCGCAGGGATGAACCAGCCAACGCCAAGCACTCGTCGCATTCGCCGCCGCGTGGGTTTTGCAAACCAAATTGCGGGTGGATGGGTGGGCTGTTTGCAAGACCATGGAATGTGGCAGCCCGCTCGTACAGAAAAACAATTGCACAACATAGCGTGCACCACACAGCTTGCACAACGCAGCTTGCATCACATAGCTGACACCACGTAGCTTGCAGCACACAACTTGCACCACATAACTTTCACCATGCTAATTCTCTGGTCTAGAAAAGAAATTGGTTCTACCACCCTCCCCCCCCCCCCCCCGGATTTATCCACCACCCGGGAACCGATATAAAACACAAGGGATTCGGACCCAATGTCCATCCTACCTGTGAATTCATACTATCCCAGCCAAATCAGTATCGCCCACCCCCCGCCATCCCGTGCAAAAAATATTATGCGCGCACAATCGTTTCTCATATATGTATATATATATATATATATATATGAATATGTATATGTATATTATATATATACACACACGCGTACATGTACATATGCATATACATATACATATGCATGTGCATATACATATGCATATACATATACATATACATATACATATACATATACATATACATATACATATACATATACATATACATATACATATATATGTCCCTTACAAACAACAAAAGAAAAGGAAACATATTACAAAAAAAAAAAAAAAAAAAAAAAATGGCACACGCGCGCGACTTCGCTTGCGCATGCCCCGAAATCCTTCAAAAACCGTCGGTTTTGGAAGGATGTCAATCGAGTTTCAACAAAAAAAACTGGGTTTCGCAACATAAATTCTTCAACATGTTCGTAACATGCTACGACATGGGCTTTGCGCGCGCGCATGTCGAAATCGTTTGAACGCCCTTGCGCGCGTGCTGGGGTGGCACGATCCGTGTCAACTAACACAATGCGAGCCACTCTCGCGCGTCTGCTGCGCGCGCATTTCGAACTCCTTCGAATTATTTCCAAAACCTTTTTGTCACCGACGCGAAGACGCCGTCACCGGCGTTGGCGTGATCGGCATTGGCGCCGTCATCGCCACTATCATCATCATCGTGTCTAGAAGTGTCGTCACCAACATCGCCACTATCATCGTCATGGTCGACGTTGTCCTGATGCCGCACCCGCCCAAGCCACCGACTCGCACTCAAGTGCCCGCTGGGATGTGCCAAGCGGTCAGCACCATCGCGGCCTCATCGGTCGCGCCAAACTACCTGGCCGCTACGCGCGCGCACATGCGCGGGCTGGCGCGGCCGCAGAGATGCACCAGCCAGCGCCAAGCACTCATCGCAATCGACGCCGCATGAGGTTTGCAAACCAAATTGCGGGCAGGTGGGTGGGATGTTTGCGCGAGCAAGGGGAGTGGACAACTCACTGCGAGCAGAAATTAATTGCACCACGTAGATTGCACCACGTACCTAGCACCACATAGCTTGCACCGCGTAGGTTGCACCACATAACG